CTTCCGATCTCTAAGTTCGTCAATGTGAGCTAAAAGGCTATTTATATTTAACGAGGCCATCACTAAGCCACGTCCATAGACGTTATGACCGATAGTTAAAGGTGTATCTTCAGTTTTATTATTATCATCTGGCAGCACAGAGATTAGGGATTCCCATCCGGCAATATTTCAATTATTATGATTTATGATATAGACTACCTTAGACTACCTTAGCCTACCTTAGGGTACTACTAGACTACCTTAGACTACCTTAGCCTACCTTAGGGTACCTTAGGGTACCTTAGCCTACTTTAGCCTACCTTAGCCTACCTTAGCCTACCTTAGACTACCTTAGACTACCTTAGACTACCTTAGCCTACCTTAGACTACCTTAGGGTACCTTAGACTACCTTAGGGTACCTTAGCCTACCTTAGCCTACCATAGCCTACCTTAGCCTACCTTAGCCTACCTAAGCCTGCCTTAGCCTACCTTAGCCTACCTTAGGGTACCTTAGGGTACCTTAGGGTACCTTAGACTACCTTAGACTACCTTAGGGTACCTTAGACTACCTTAGCCTACCTTAGGGTACCTTAGGGTACCTTAGGCTACTTTAGCCTACCTTAGCCTACCTTAGCCTACCTTAGACTACCTTAGACTACCTTAGACTACCTTAGCCTACCTTAGCCTACCTTAGGGTACCTTAGGGTACCTTAGACTACCTTAGCCTACCTTAGACTACCTTAGGGTACCTTAGACTACCTTAGCCTACCTTAGCCTATCTTAGACTACCTTAGCCTACCTTAGACTACCTCAGACTACCTTATGGTACCTTAGACTAACTTAGGGTACCTTAGAGTACCTTAGCCTACCTTAGGGTACCTTAGGGTACCTTAGACTACCTTAGCCTACCTTAGCCTATCTTAGACTACCTTAGCCTACCTTAGACTACCTCAGACTACCTCAGACTACCTTAGCCTACCTTAGCCTACCTTAGGGTACCTTAGGGTACCTTAGCCTACCTTAGCCTACCTTAGACTACCTTAGGGTACCTTAGACTACCTTAGGATACCTTAGAGTACCTTAGACTACCTTAGATTACCTTAGACTACCTTAGACTACCTTAGGGTACCTTAGACTACCTTAGTCTACCTTAGACTACCTTAGCCTACCTTAGACTACCTTAGACTACCTTAGACTACCTTAGCCTACCTTAGCCTACCTTAGGGTACCTTAGACTACCTTAGACTACCTTAGGTTACCTTAGGGTACCTTAGACTACCTTATCCTACCTTAGCCTACCTTAGACTACCTCAGACTACCTTAGACTACCTTAGACTACCTTAGGGTACCTTAGACTACCTTAGGGTACCTTAGCCTACCTTAGCTTACCTTAGGGTACCTTAGACTACCTTAGCCTACCTTAGACTACCTTAGGGTACCTTAAACTACCTTAGGGTACCTTAGAGTACCTTAGGGTACCTTAGACTACCTTAGTCTACCTTAGACTACCTTAGGTCACCTTAGACTACCTTAGACTACTTTAGCCTACCTTAGCCTACCTTAGGGTACCTTAGCCTACCTTAGCTTACCTTAGGGTACCTCAGACTACCTTAGACTACCTTAGCCTACCTTAGACTACCTTAGGGTACCTTAGAGTACCTTAGGGTACCTTAGACTACCTTAGGGTACCTTAGATTACCTTAGCCTAGCTTAGACTACCTTAGGGTACCTTAGACTACCTTAGCCTACCTTAGACTACCTTAGCCTACCTTAGACTACCTTAGAATACCTTAGACTACTTTAGCCTACCTTAGCCTACCTTAGGGTACCTTAGACTACCTTAGCCTACCTTAGACTACCTTAGGGTACCTTAACCTACCTTAGGGTACCTTAGACTACCTTAGCCTACCTTAGACTACCTTAGCCTACATTAGCCTACATTATGGTACCTTAGACTATCTTGAAATAAATTTAGCTATTAATGAGGGATTTGTGTTAATCCCCGAGCCAACGTAAGCCCGGGCGTTAGCCCTGGGCGAAAGGGTAATAATTCTCCCCGGATATTTTCACCCGTCAGTTTCAGTCCCCTTATACGCCATCACCGCGCGGTCTATCACGAATCAGCGCACGTGATGTGTTTCAATTGTTTATGTATGACTTTGTATTAATATTATAGACTTTGTTCTTGTTGTTCAAGTCTTTCCTATGGATTGTATGCGAAAGTTTCATAGTTAAGTTAACTTTTGTAGAAGTTCATCATAAAAAGGAAAGCAAATTATTTTCATTAGCTTTCTGTACGAATTAAATTTACTTCATATCAAATTGTGAGTAACAAGTTAGCTCAAGTTTAATATCGCGATCGGCAAAAAGCAGTTAATTCACATTTAAAAACGTTTTACGTAGAGTTTCGTTTTCAATTTTACATTAAAATAAAGCACATAGAAACCAAAACCAAAATCAGGTTTGAGGTTTGCACAAAAAAGTTTAAAAAAAATTATAGTGTTGCCAGGACAACATGACGTGTGAGCAACGCGAGCCTGCGTTCAATGTTGGCGTAATTACGAATACTTTATGTTGAAACAATGTTTGGAGAATATAGGCGAGGGGTTGTTGAATTCATGTATTTCTAGTTATAAGTCTACCTGATGATGATAACTTTAGCCGTTCATTGACTATGAACACACGCCAGGTTCATAGTCAATGAACTGCATGGACATATTATATTTGTCTAATAAAGCTGGATTTCCCTTTTGAAGAAAAGATTTGGTTGTCAAAATTTTTCTCTCAATTTTGTTTCGAATTGTGAGCGGTCAAATATAACTCATATTATTTGGATGGTCAATTGACCACTTGCGTAACAGACTAAATTTTGATCTAGACAAAATTTTCATCACAGCTTGAAAGAGCATCACAAAATTAGTAATATTCCAAAGTTTCGTTGCGAAATGTTGTAAAATGCGGGTAATATAGCCTTGTGAAATTTGCAATTTTCAGTCATTTTAGATTACAAACGGGAAATTGACAACCCAATACCCTTTGGGGCTGTCGATTTCCTGTTTGTAATCTAAAATGACTGAAAATTGCAAACTTTGCAAGGCTATATTATCCACATTATTAATAAAAATTAGTAATATTCCGAAGTTTCCTTGCGAAATGTTGTAACATTTCGCAAGGAAACTTTGGAATATTACTAATTTTGTGATGCCCTTTCAAGCTGTGATGAAATGTTTAGATCAAAATTTAGTCTATTACACAAATGGTCAATTCAAAAGAAATCAGGCGAAATATTTCGACGACGGCATATTTTTGTGTAAGTGGGAATCAAACTTTACTCAGACACAATTCTGACAAACTGAATTGTTTAGTTGAATGTTCTTCGACTGTACGATACGTACGCCTGTTTATCCCGAAATTAACAACTTAATTAACCCAGTCTTTATTTATCATTAACCCTTCTAATCCTCGACAATTTGTTTCTATAACTACGTATAGCCTACGTTTCACAGATTTATCTTAGTCCAAGAGTATCTTTATAGCAGGCGAAATATCGAAAGTGCAGCCAATGCAAAACTCTTCGATACTAAATATTCATGTTTTTAATGAAATTGTAATCAATTTGTGCGACGCTTACAAGAGTTTATTACAGTATATTTTTTATGAAGCAAATTTAGGAGTATAATATTGAAATGATTGTTCTAACGATTATTCTAACTAGTTTCTAATTAATTTTGTTCTAATTATATTATTTATCGTCTCATTTTTCGTCCGTTTGGGTTGACTGGCTTGTAATATTTTGACATCCCATCTTTTAATTCCGCGTTTCTTGTTCTTTTTCTTATGTACTTGTTTCTTGCTATGAAAAAATTAAAACCATTACAATTTTAATAATTAATAAATAAAGTATACTGTAGTCTGTAATTAAAAATGCGAGACTTTGAATCAACGTCTCAAGATATTGCCGATAACTTATAGCAATTCGTCGCATATTTTGATCCTTCTATAGCTAAAATTTAATGTTATCGTTGTGGAATCGCATTACTAAATCCTTTATGATTACTTAGTAGTTACCTTTGTCTTGTGCCTTAGCATCTTCCAGAGGTTAAAGTTCAGCTTGTTTGGCTATGACTGGACCTGTTTCTTCTGACATTATTCAATGGGAAAAAGTGAATAATTAATAAAATATATTTATTTATAATTTTTAAAAAATGTTATAACTTGGAATCAACTTCTCATGATATTGAAATTTATAACAGTAATTCGTCGTAATTCTGGTCATCCTATAGCTAAAATTTAACGTCATCATTGCTAGATTGCATTACTAAAATCCTTTATGATTACGTAGTAGTTACCTTTGTCTTGTGCCTTCTCATCTTCCGGAGGTTGAAGTTCAGCTTGTTGGGTTGCGACTGGACCTGTTTCTTCTGATCCTTCGATGGAAATAAACATGAATAATTAATAATACCTTAGCGTACCTTTGCTAGATTGCATTATTAAATCCTTTATGATTACGTAATAGTTACCATCTTTCAACTCCGCGTTTCTTTTCCTTTTTCTAATGCACTTTTTTCTTGCTATGAAAAAATTAAAACCATTAATTACAATTTCAATAAATAATAAATAAAGTATATTGTTGTTAAAAATGCTATACTTTGAATCTATAAGGTAGGCTAAGGTGTATATTTAATTATAATTTATAAAAAATCTTATAACTTGGAATCAACTTAATCTCATGATATTGATAATTTATAACAGTAATTCGTCGTAATTCTGATCATTCTATAGTTAAAATTTAAAGTCACCATTGCTAGATTGCATTACTAAAATCCTTTAATACAAAAAGAAAAACATTAATTCAACAGGCAAGAAAGTCCAGAGTGCGATGCAAAAATTAACACAAGTACACAACGGATGTTATGAGTCCACGACGTATATTTATAGTTGTTTAATAAAAAGTCAAACTGTCAAACCTTTAACTTGTCCTTGTTTAAATATCCTTCTATATATTGTATAAATTCGCTGGGTCTAAATTTTCGAGTCGTTACACAAAGAAAAACACATTAATTCAACACGCAAGAAAGTCCAGAGTACGACACAACGTAAAATCCATAGGAATCACTCTGTGAAAAGCCGCCATTGGAGTTCGGAATTGTGCGCGTGCGTACAAGTGTATGGGCTAATATAAACGAAAAATGCACCACAAGCATGGCATGAGTCGGCTATTACGTACATAAATACGGACTTATTACTATACTATGTAAATCATGGAACCGAGGGGATCGATGGCATTTTGGCTTAGTCGTTGCACCCTGAGCCTGCGATGAGCTAACGCAAACTCGATTTCTCGACTACGAAAAAAACAGGAAAAGACAGAAAAAGAGGGATTTAAGACACTTGGCCTACAGGCCAGTGTAATAATAACTCGAAAGTCAGTTTTTACACACATTTGCCATTTGGCACTATATATCATATATTATGTTTGTTTACCTATAATATACTATTACTATATAATCTAGCTATAATTCTGTTTCAACTGAGTTTGAACTTAATTTCCACCCAACCTTGTACCCAGAGTTTGGTCAACCTTTGACGCCTTTGTGCTTTTCAATGGAACAAGACGCCTGCTCAGGCGTTCACACTTCCCTCAAAATAACGACAGTGTGATGCCTGGAATATGAGAGCAGTCACATCAGCAATATTGCTCTTTCTCGAGGGCAAAAAATTTAGCTATTGCTACCAATACAATTTAGACCAGCTATGAAACCCGAGACAGTGATAGGCTACATGGCATCAATATCATAATTATATAGCGCTACTATCTATATACGTCATAGTATACTTTAATAATTCAATGACAATGTTGTTTTGCGTTGCGGTTGAATTTTCTTTTCTTGAAGAAAATACAGTAGAGACAGTTGTATATATTGACGATGTACTGTACTCTAAAAATCACGATGCCGATATATAAAATCAGTCAATACTCAATAGACACAATACTCAATATTCAATAACAATGTCATGTGTGTTTTACTATGTCTATAGTTTATATAGACTGTAAAAGCTTGGATATATGTTTATAATGAAAGGTAAAATAACACCACTGACTGGCACTGTGTATATATATTTTATTTATCAGTATTGCAACGCTTTCGACCTGGGAGGGAAACACAATGATAATACAGTGTATAAACAATCAACATTGTTGCCAATTTCATATCTGTATAATAAAACTAAGGATTTCAAATAATTCAAAACTGGTCTGTAGTGTAGACAGGCGAGGACCCAACCAATGCAATACCGAATAAACCAAGAAACTGTATTATACGAATACTTTCTTTTATGATACGTTGAAAACTTCAAGCAAACTGCAACAATATTAAACAAAAAAGTCAAAATCTGTTCTGTCTGTTATCGTCCACTGCATTAAACGCGACTGCCATTTCACCATCGTTTTCTCGACCGGAAAACAGACAAACGGTATTTTAATTCATAAACGTTCTCATTCGGGAAGTGTAATAAAGTTTTATGCCAACATAGGCTCTATTCCAAGATTTATGTCTCAACTGGAAACGCTCTAATCCTCTATGGTTATTAATTAGTTACTTCATCAAGCAAACGATTTGGATAGACAAAGAGAATATTGGGTCTCTTCAAAAATCACTTAAAACTGAGTGAAAGAATAAATGAATTTAAAAAAAAAAAAAATTAAAAAAAAATAAATAAATAAATAAAAATTGCCAAGATAGAGCTATGTTTGTCGCGTTACCAACGCTCCTATTGAGAAGTTGTAACATAGAAGCTTTGTGGGGAAGCTGCTGGTTAATTGTCTTGGCCCCATTCAGGTTTCCTGTATTGCAGGTTTTTCCTGGCCTCCCTGACTATCCAGCTGTAGTATAAGCGATGGTAATTCTCAAACATGCACAAGCCTTACTATCATCTGGCAAAAGCTGTCCTCTATATGAATACAGCTGTTGTGGGAGTGGGATTGTTCGTCTATGGGGAATACACTCAAGTGTCAGATACACTTTATTGTATTTGTGGGGTTGAAGTGCTCCCAAAGGTCACCTTCATGCCCATAGACTCATTCAATGTAAATATAATCGGCCGAGTTATAGGAACTGTCCAAGGGACCCTTACCCCTTGGTTCAGGTTAATAAGGTCAGAGGGGGTCGCTACCCTTCTGGCATGTGCTCTGGGGACCCTTACCCCCAGAGCAGCTCTGGGGACCCTTACCCCCAGGGCAGCCCTAGGGACCATTACCCCTAGGGTTATCAGAGCGGGCCTTATATATACCCCGCAGGATGAAATATAAGGCCATAAAGAGTCTATTGGGTTAAATATACATATAATGTGACACTTATTGTAACAGGAGTACTTCACCCCCATAACCCATTCTCCCACACAAAAGCTGTATGTGTCTATTCTTAATTCTTAGCTCAGTTAGCTGGCAGGAGAGCAATTGTTCCATTAACAATATCAAATCCAAACTTGTCCAAATAATGGCGTCTTAGACCTTGCCGAAGCGTTAGCATAGCATTTGCTTTATACTTTGAGCCGTCTTTCTTTTCGGCGTTCGCATAAAATTTTGCCAGACTTTTATCCAAAACTTCTTTGTCTTGTAACTCGGCTACATTTCCGGCAGCTTTTACAAATGCTTTCAATGCCGTTTTAGTACTTTTGGTCGTGTTTTTAGAATGTCTTTCGTCTAAAATTCTGGCAATTTCTAGATCTTCTTCCGATGCAGAATCATGGCTGGCCATTTTGAATTAAAAATAACAATTTCCCGCTTTTTTCTCCAAACGTCAGTCTCGTGAGTTGCGTGGCTTCCACGATTTTAAATATCCACCGCTGTATCGGTGAATACGAGGTGGGCGCTGGTCAAAAAGACTGCAGAAATTAATATCCACCGCTCTACCGGTGAATACGATGTGGGCGCTGGTCAAAAGGACGGCAGAAACTAATATCTACGAGTAGATGTCGGAATACGACGATATATTTCATCCTCACGTGGGCAAAATGGAGCATTTTAATTGGACGTTTTAAATTTGAGGTATAATATATATTATTATAAAACCCCTGTCGCGAATATATTAAGCTTCGGCCTTCGCATAGCCTGCTGGCCTTCCTAGGGGCCCGCCGCAGCGTTCAAAAGCGTACTAGATTTTAAAATGGGTGGTCTCACAAACAATTAATCAAATATGATCTTTTGAAGCCCAAGGTTGTGACTATTTCCACAAAAGTGGCTTTATCGGCCTTTAAGCGTCGCCGGAACAAACACATCCGCTATGCGGAACAGAAGGTGACGATAGATGTGCCAAATCCCATATCAAATGGCATGCATGCTTTAAAACAATTCATGTCAACCGGATAGCAACGAGTTTGACTAATGGTCGAGGGTCGAGGGTCGAGGGTAATAGGTCGAGGGCGAGGGTAGAATGTCGAGGGTGGAAAAAAATGTCGAGGGTGGAAAAAAATGTCGAGGGTCAATTTTTTGACTCTATAATTTGTTCACAAATTTTTAGTAACAGAATCAAATACTTACCATTGCACATACGTATCACACTTAAATTAACTTGCTTTTGCCCAACGTCAATGTTTTAGCCCTATTATGGAATTTGCCATGACGCAGAGTAAGTATGCTTCGCTATTAAACGCAAAGTTTAGTTTGAACAAACAGATATGTTTTATACGCCGATGTTTACTAAGTAACGAATAAACCCTAATTTGATCATTATCAACATTATGAAGTTAACTGATCAAATTTCGATCGCTGCAGCCAAAAAGCGCCGCTTCACATGCCATTTGATAAACATAACATAACTACATAAGCCTTTGCGACCTTTGTGCACTCATGATTTCAGCAATCATTACGAACCACAAAAGCGATATATAGTACTGTATAGCTATGTTTCCCGCATGATCTAGAAACCCACGACTAAACACTAATGTCGTATAAAATAATTTGTAAAGCCGTGATTTTCTAACTATCAATATTTTCTGCATCGTGGCAAACGTTGACAGACAGCCAATTGTCTTATGTGCATGCCTACGGCAGCAAACATTTTTCGCACAGTCACAGATTAATTTTACAACTCATCTGAAATATATATGCGACTGGAGCTCCCTGAATTAACAGCGAGGCAGTACAGTCACATTTTTATCACATCATCAAACTAAGGGCCTGTTCATATGATCCCGCTTACTGGGACGTCTCGCTTACCGAGACGAATATTTCCGTGCGTTCATATGGAGTTTTTCGTCCCGTTTGCCGAGATGAAATTACAAGTGTAGTTCTATAATTAGCGTATGCAAAACTTCTACATTTCAGTCAAGCAACACAAATACTTGGCGATTTTAGTGTTTTTCTTCGTTTATTTACAAGAAAAAGTATTGCTTCAGGTGGACATTTAATACTTGTTTACAAAACAAACATAAAACCAAGTAAAAAGTGTTAAATTAAACCGGCAAGACTTGTTTCACTTCATCCCGGTTAGCGGGCTGGCGTGTTCATATGGAAAAATTTTCATCCCGCCTACCTATGATCTCGGCAAATTCAAACGAGATCTCGGCAAGCGGGCCAGCTCGCTTTCTCATATGAACACAATGCAAAATTTTATAGGAAAATAGATAGGCGGCGAGATCACCGGTAAGCGAGACGTCCCGGTAAGCGGGATCATATGAACAGGCCCTAAATCTTAGGATCAAAGAAAATTGCTATACTTACATCATAACGGTTACTCCCCATTCCCCAAGTACTCAAACACTATATTCTGCACAGTCCTGGAAGACAACCCCAACTGAAAGCCAGCAGCCGAATAAAAACATAGCCCATCATCGCTGGGAGGATTATACGAAATCTTTAGTCCAGCCTCTTCTATTCTGCTCTGAAGTACTTCCATTTCACACAAGTTTTATACCTTACAGCAATGCGGCAACTGAAGACGTTTTTAAGAGAAAGCTCGTCTGCACGTGTATGCGTTAACCAAAGTTTAATCGCAAGTAAGGTTCGAATGACAATTTCTCGCAAGTTTTGATCCAGAACTGAAAGCAAATCCCGACATCCGGGGTGACACTTCGACGTGTCAGTGTTATTTTTCATTTTGCTGCGAATTTGTTGCGCCGATGAGGCATAACTAACCCAGGAAAATATCACTATTAATAAAAATTAATGTTGAAATATTTTCCGGTTTTATATTCCCCAGCCATGCATGGAGTAATACTTGTATTCAAATTCGCGCAGTAATCAAATTCGCGCAGACGATAGGAGCCATAGGCGCAAGAAATTACAACATGAGCAGAAAATAATCTGTGCGAAAAATGTTTGCTGCCGTAGGCATGCACATCAGACAATTGGCCGTCTGTCAACGTTTGCCACGATGCAGAAAATACTGATAGTTAGAAAATCACGGCTTTACAAATTATTTTATACGACATTAGTGTTTAGTCGTGGGTTTCTAGATCATGCGGGAAACATAGCTATACAGTGCTATATATCGCTTTTGTGGTCGTAATGATTGCTGAAATCATGAGTGCACGGCAAAGGTCGCAAAGGGTTATGTTATGTTTATCAAATGGCATGTGAAGCGGCGCCTTTTGACTGCAGCGATCGAAATTTGATCAGTTATTAACTTCATAATGATCAAAATAGGGTTTATTCGTTAGTATACATCGGCGTATAAAACATATCTGTTTGTTCAAACTAAACTTTGCGTTTAATAGCGAAGCATACTTACTCTGCGCCATGGCAAATTCCATAATAGGGATAAAACATTGACGTTGGGCTAAAGCAAATTAATTAATTGTGATACGTATGTGCAATGGTAAGTATTTGATTCTGTTACTAAAAATTTGCGAACAAATTATAGAGCGGTCAAAAAATTGACCCTCGACATTTTTTTCGACCCTCGACATTTTTTTCGACCCTCGACATTCTACCCTCGCCCTCGACCTATTACCCTCGACCCTCGACCCTCGACCATTAGTCAAACTCCTCGAAGATGCGACAGGACAAGTCGTATATGCGACACAGGTTCGACATTGATTTAGACGCCGTGCTTTTCATGCGCCGAACCTAATGCATAATTATTTTTTAACATCATAATATGATTATCATATATTTGCATTGTAAATATTTCCAATATAATGTCTTCGCAATTTGGTACGGTGCAATTAAGTTCGACGTCTAAATCAGTTTCCGATATTTTGCCGTATCTACGACAATTAGATTCGGCGCATGAGAAGTTCGCCGTCTAAACCGGGCCTAAGCTTTAATTTTTTGCTGTATATGCATTCTTAATAATACAAGTGAGATTTTAATAAATTTTTGCTTTGTGAAATAGAATACCGTTACTTTTTTAATGGACAGCTTGCATCGTCTATATCATATCCAGGATTACTTGTGTGTAAACTCATTATTCAGTATATGACACTATCAAATAAATATAAGTAGCAAATGATTAATGAATTAGAGATAAACAGGTGATTCACAATGAAAACTTTAAAAATGTTAGTAGAAGTAGGCTAGAAAACTCGAAAATTTATGTTTATTCGTATGATGCCAATGGACGGTCTGTGCGCATCTGACACTGTAAATTTGTGATCTAGATTATAGAGGGCCCCCTATACTTTTTGCGTGAAGCGTGATGGGCTTATTTTACTTAGCCGTGAAACGTGATCGATGATTTTCTTAATCCGTGATTCGTGATGGTATGACTTCCAATCTTTTTACGTGCACGTGAAGGAAAGATTCGATTTAACCGTGACCCGTGAATGGCAGATAGAAATATGCGGGATTCGTGAATCATCTGTTTTGTGACCTTTTGTGTGATCAGCTTTCCAAGGAATAAATACGGTTTGTTGCTGTTTTTTGAAGTACTTGATGTACAGAAGCCTGTTTTCGACATAGTTGGAGGTTTGAAAGCATGTCGAGGTAAGTACAGACGAGTACAATGAATCTACAATTAAGGAAGACATCCATATAATAATTCGTGAATTTTGTTTTATTTTTACGTGAATCGTGATCGCTTCAATTTTTCCGTGAACGTGAAGGAATTGTTTCAATTTTTCGTGACTCGTGAAAAGGCAAAATATTTTTACGTGAAAGCATATTGTGAAGAGGTATAGGGGGCCCTCATTATAGTATGTTAACACAATATAATGATTAATAGAGACCAAAAAAAAGGCTAAAGTCTTACTATAATTACCGAATACGAATTATGTACTAAATCCAGATAAACCAATGACTGGAATTTCCTCTATACTTATAGACATTTCTCTGTTCGGCTATTATCAAATGTTTACATTTGCTAATATTGGGTGTCATTGACATTGGGTTAGACAATACTGTTTCTTTTAAAAATCTTATAAACAAGACGCGTAATAACAAGTGAATCGGTACAAAGCGTATCGACGTTTATAGTCTAGGACCTGCATATGAGTTTGTATGCATTTCATTTAGGACAGATAATCTCAACTGTTTTAGGGCAAGTTGACCATGACGGTCAACATGGTAACGCTGCCCGAACCCCAATCCGGGACGAAACGTCCGAAACTGACCACACCCAAAACGACGCTTTCGCCATACTGCTATCTACCAAACCATAAAAGCTTTGGCTATTCTGAGGTGCTTATATGGTTCAGAGATGGTACTTTTGGGGGTGATCATTGGTAAGTGTGAAATGCCTAGCACTAATATTTCACAAGAAAATGACCATGCAATAATCATAGTTAAACGTCAATTTGTGGCTTGCAACTTCAGATAAACAGCAGTGGACTTACATTGCCTTTTTCCCTAAATCTTTTTGATAGAAACATAATTGGTACTTATTTAAATATATTATCACTGGTTTGGTGTAAAATAGTTAATATTTTCTGACCGAAATAATAATTTGAACCTACCTCCGGCAAATGGACGTATTTGGCCAAGTTCTCCACTTTACTCCGCTGTTTATCGGCGATCTCGTCGACATCCTACAAAAAATGTAAATCATCTCAGACATAATGGTATCAAGAACATTTTAAACAAGTTTCAACTTGGTTCAAGTAGATCATACCTGTTTAACCATCGACAAGGTAAATCCACAACTTTGTCCAAATTCGGCGCCATTTTGTCATCCCATGTCGGTTGTCAACAATTCAGCCTTATTACTCTTCCATCCAAGCCATTTCCATTACACTACACTGCAAAAAATACCGGAGTATTTTGACTCAAAAATATGAGTAAAACAATGCACCCACAGTGACTCAAAATATTGAGTAAAACAACTCAACTTAGTGAGCAAATTAACTCAACTTTTTGAGTAAAGCAAATGCACCCACAGTGACTCAAATCTTTGAGTAAAACATCACTTTACTCAAATTGTGAGTAAAAAATACTCAAATTTTTGAGTAAAGCAAATGCACCCACAGTGACTCAAACCTTTGAGTAAAATATCACTTTACTCAAATTGTGAGTAAAAAATACTCAAATTTTTGAGTAAAGCAAATGCACCCACAGTGACTCAAATCTTTGAGTAAAACATCACTTTACTCAAATTGTGAGTAAAAAATACTCAAATTTTTGAGTAAAGCAAATGCACCCACAGTGACTCAAATCTTTGAGTAAAACATCACTTTACTCAAATTGTGAGTAAAAACTACTCAAATGTGTGAGTAAAGTAAACACACCGACAGTGACTCGAATTTTTGAGTAAAACATTACTTTACTCAAATTGTGAGTAAAAAATACTCAAATTTATGAGTAAAGCAAATTTCACCCACAGTGACTCAAATTCTTGAGTACAACATCACTTTACTAAAATCAGTAAACACACCGACAGTTTTCACTCAAATTGTCAGTGAAAAGCAAATTAAATTAACACGCGTTACCTAACTTGTGCATGCATGCAGTCTCGAAAAGTATATTCACCAATAGCCATAAATCAAACACTTGAATAAAATTTATTTCAATGAAATTTAACGAAGTTATATTACTCAATCCTATATATATATAATATAACTAAATCACGTCGATCTTTGTAATAACTTTAATTTCACAATAAAACCATGAAACATTTTGGAATAGTAAACATGCATGTGAGTACATGCAGCGGAACATGCGAGGAATGCCCCAAAAATGAGCCCCTTGCTGAGTTGCTGCTCCTTAAATCATGCAT